CTGTAGAGCTACAAAACTCTTAAACTCCCAGTGTAGGAAGGCAGCAACAGGATGCAATTAACACTCTGCCTTTTTTTTTAATAGCAACACCACGAAGAGAAACGTCTAAAAGGATATTTAAATTCAGTATAAAATTCTAGCAAGCACAATTTTAATTGCATACCAACAGCAAAATATTTCTTTCATTGTCTAAACAAAAGGAAGGCTATAATACAAGCTGTCTTCTTTCTATAGGACTCCGCTATTAACCTTTAAGAATCTTTTCTAGGCTAAAAACTCTTTCTCTAGCAAATGCATTTGAGACTGGGACTTAATCTTCTAAAATCCTAGCTCCTGTCTTGAACAATATCAAAACTTCAATCTCTGACATAAAAGCACTCTGAGCAATATTTCAAACAGAAGAATTGCAGAGCTTCTTTTTTCTATTGGCAAAGACAGTAATTTTTAGAAGTCACAAAAATAAAAACATACCTTCTCCAACACACACACACACACACACACACACACAGAGAGAGAGAGATAAAAAATGCACAATACGCAGTCTGATTACTCAACAGCAAGTCATCAGAAACGCAAGCAAAGATTGGGTTCCTGTTTCCATAGAGATGACTTTATGTGGTTCAGTTCTTCTGGGAATTTAACCAAACCCCCAGCAGGAGAAAATCATCAGCAAAAATTTTGTAACATATGGCTACTGACAACAAATCAGTGAGGGAAAAATACTTTCGTTTCACTTCCTTTCTACCAGGAGGAATACCTTCACATCAAGCTGTTCGAATATGCATACTGATTTTGTTGGTCATTCTGCCCAAAACTCAGCACTAAATAATGCCAGATTTCTTCATGCTTAGATTAGAAGAGCTGTTGGTACCCAGCCAGGCACTGCAGCTCGTGCATCCCCAGAATGTCATTTAGTCAAGGACAAAGATCGCATGCATCCTCCCATGATTCTAAGCTTATTGGTCCTGAAGGGAAACTCTCTATCTGCAGGGTTTTCCTGCAGGGAAGACAACAAATGGAATTTTTTTTTCTATTAAGCTTTTGAAGTTATGCGCATCTTGAGAGGGGATGGTGCATGTGTGTACATGCACGCTTTCCTGAACCTTTTTTAGTTCTATTTATGATTTTTTTAAAATTTTATTTGATCTTCATTTATTTATTTATTTTCATTTGACCAGAGAGAGGGGGAGAGAGAGAAAGTGAGAAAGCAAACCACCAGGTCTGGGACTCGAACCACGGTCAACCATGTGGGAGTCCAGCACCCCCAACCACCATTCCACCTGCCAGCCTCAGTTCTCTTTATGACTAATAGAAGAGTTTTGGGGACCACGTTCAAGTCCAGCCTGATAGTTTGAAAAATATACCAGGCACCTGTACATGTGCACGCAAAATCCCTAGAGGAGGATGGGGAAGGGACTATCACCTCATCATCCAGCTTGGGGGTGCTTTCTCACTTTTTCTCTTCTCCATCTCTCTCTCTCTCTCTCTCTCTCTCAACTCTCTCTCTCTCTCTCTCTCTCTCTCTCTCTCTCTCTTTTTCTGGTGAGCAAACATGTCATCTAGCAAATTTTAAAAAGCGTGTTTGGCAGAAAAATAATAGCAGTAGCTTTTATTTTTTCTATAGCTTCTGTGGTTCCATCAATCCTGTAAGTGGAGAGGTCTTCTAAGTATAGATCAAATGTCATCAAGTCCAGATACTTAACTTCTCTCTTTGGCATATCTTCACAAGAACAAAAATTACTATCAATAGGTAATCAATATTGAATGAAAATATTTGCCTCATAATAAGTAAACACCCCCAGTGAGAAAATGTACTACTTTCCACAGAGTCCATTCTCCTTTGAATAGCTCCCACATTTAAAAGAAATTTCTTATGTTGAACCTAAATCTATCTCCTTTTTACTCGCACAACTGACCTCAATTTTGTACTTCTGAGAACAAACAATTAAGCCCAATATTTCATCCACGCTATAAGAATTTGCAGACCTGAGGCCAGCTGGAGTCTACTCTTCCCACTCCTCACGTCCAGTCTTTACCCTGTATATTCCTCAAAGGCATTGTTTACTTTATCCTCCTTATCCCACTTTTCACTTCTTTTTTTTCAGTGGATGAGTTATGTTTCTTGTTCCAATAAGTAGAAATAAATTCAAAGCTATTGTTTCCTATAAATCAAAGACAGTTAACAGCACCAAGGGCATTTCACTACTCTTATTAAAATTGGGGCCTCTAGGGAACCAGCAGTTAGAGTAATGGCTATGTCGCTGGACTCCCACGTAGTCGACCGTGGTTCGTGTCCCGGACCTGGTGGCTTAAAACTCACACCGGGCGCATGTGCGTGCGTGCCCAAGATACCGAGAGGAGAATGGAGGAGAAGGGATGGTGGCGTGACCATCCCCCCTAGGGGGTGATTTCTCGCTTTCTGTCTCTGTGTCTCTCTCTGTCTGTCTGGCAAGCACACGCGCCCTACAGTGAAAATCTCTCCAATTAAATAAATAAACATAAAAATTGGGGCCTCTATAGGTAAAACATACTTAACTTTTCTAAAGGGAAGGCTTCTGACACAGTGTAGGGTCCTGTTACTTTGAAAATAACTGCCTTAGACTGGTTGAACTTTTCTGTTTTTAGAATGCCATCTTAATTTAAAGGGTTACTCTTTCACTTTATTTTTATTTTAATTTATTTTATACATTTAATCACTATACATCACTTAGCTTGAAAGTTGAATTTACCCAACATGAATACACTTCACACCAGTCCAGTTTAGGATACAAAACATATTATCATCAACAGATAATAATGCATGTCTGTGTCCCATAAATGTCATGCCTGTCTATTTTTCTCCTTAATTTCTTTCCTCATACTCTCCCCCTTCTTCCGCCCTCTTCCCACTTTGTCTCCAGTATCTATAACCATTTTCAATGCATCTACATCCTCTAATCTTTCAATTTCCGCCACAGAGTGCAGACAGTTGGTAGATACTAAGTAGAGACATACAATGTCTGTCTTTCATGACCTGATTTGCCTCACTCAGCAGCAAATTTTCCATATTCATCCACTTTCTATCAAATACCAGGGTCTTATTGTTTCTTATGGCTGAGTAGTATTCCATAGAGTATATGTGCCACACTTTTCCAATCCATTCATCTGTTTGTGGACATTTGGGCTGATTCCACGTCTTAGTAATTGTGAATAATGCCTTGGTAATCATAGCTGTGCAAGCACTTTTCTGACTGAGAGTTCTCCTCTCCTTTGGAAACACCAAGGAGTGGGATTGCTGGATCATATGGTAGTTCTTTTTGTAGGTCTTTGAGGAACTTCCATATTGTTCGCCATAATGGCTGGGCCAATTTTCATTCCCACCAGCAGTATAGGAGAGTTCCTCTTTCACCACATCCCTGCCAGCACTTAGGATTTTTGTTTTTGTTTTTGTTTTAATCTCCCATTTATCCACTTCTATTGAGTAGTCAGAAAAGTCATGATGTATTTTTTATGTTTCTGTATGCAAAAATGCATCATAACTTTTCTGACAACCCAATATAATCAAGTAAGTTTATCAATTTCTTCATTCACGCCAGTGTTTCTAATTGATAGTTGGCCTGAATTAGGGGTATCACGTGACAATGCCGTCACAGATCAAGCAGCTAACTATGTAACACATCTTCAGGTGACGCCTTGGGGAGTGGTAAAATATTACACATGTGCACACACACACACACACACACACCATGGTTTATAGTTGTGATCCGTGGCCCAAATCAGAATACTGACACCAAAAATTTAACCAGTAGAGTACATCTGTAAAATTTAAGAACTTAAAGAAACATTGCTGAATTAGTCCAGAAAGTACAGAAAAGCACTCATCTATGCCATGAGGCACCTCTGGCTGGTCATTATGGGAATTTGCAAAGTCAACATTCTCTCAATAATACACAAAAAAACCCTTCAAAAAAATGAATTCATCATTCTCTCATTTCTCAGTATCAGCCTGTTTTACACCAGAATGAATAAAGCACAATCAGAAAAGATATATCATGATTAAATAGTAATAAAAAAGTTAGTCATGAATAAAAGATAAGAGCCAATTATTGCAAGGTTAAAAAAAAAACCTCACATTATTAATTTCTACACACCATTAACTTTTCCTTTGTTAAGACTGAATGTTATTCAAAGGTGTAAGTGGTGTTCTACCTTATATTATAAAAGTTCTAATGCTGCCCTCCAAAGGACATGCAATTAGTCTGTTTCCTTTGACCACCCAGCACACTCAGGAGCAAGCTGTCTAGAAACCAGACATTGTCTGTGGGCATGACCAGAGAAGGTGGCAGCTCCAAGTTTTTTTGAAACCATTGAGGTGATGTGATGAATGACGGACTACAGAACCTTGATTCAACCATCACACGCTCCAGAACATACACTACGGGAGCACAATAAAGAAGAAGGGTTTTCCTGAACTTGATGGAAAAGGATCCTTATTTCATGGTCACATCCCACAGTTTTAAAGCATTTGGTTAGTGATGCTCAAAGCACACAATTAGTGTGTTAGTAGGCAGAGCTGTCCACATGCAAACTAAACTCTTCTGCAAAAGCGGCAGTGGGGCTTAACCCCAATGGAGGGCTTAAGTATTAACCAGCATTCTTTTTTTTATTTAAATATTTTCTTGCTACAGGTTGTGTGTGCTCACTAGAGAGAGAACAAGAGAGACAGTAAAAGGGAAAGTGAGAAATCACCCCCAGGGGTAGATGGCCATGCTGCAATCCATTCTGCTCCTGGGATTTTGGACACATGTGCACATGTGCCAGCATGATTTTCCAGCCACCAGGTTTGGGACTTGAACCATGATCAGCCATGTGGGAGTGCAGCACCTTAACCACTATGGCACCTGCTGGCCCCTTGAATCACCATCCTTGAGTTTAAATATTCTTATGACAAGTTAATATTAAGATATCATATACACACAAATATTCATTCTCTAAAGAAAGTAAATAATTTCTTGGTTTACCTCTGTCTGTTGTCTTTGAACCGTGAGGTTTATCTGGGACAGTAAGATGATCTTGGTTGCTGCTCAAGGAAGAAGTGTCATCGCTAGATAAAGAGTTCAAAAATCCACTTTCTGAGGAGACAAAGTTGTTTTCTGGGGCCTTGCAACTGTTCACCTCTGAAGGTGTGAGTGAATGGACCTGCACCATCAACGACATAGATTGTCCCACATCTTCAGCAGCGGATGAACTGTTAACTATGTGGATCCAGGACTGTCTTTCTTTAGGTTCAGAGGAAGAACAACCGCTGGGTGCCTTCATTGCGTTTTCCAGGGAAGACAAAGAACTTGATGCTTCGCTCAGTTTGGGTGAGGACGAAGAAGCCTGCTGTGCAACCTATTTTTCACAAATAACACCAAGAAAAAGTAAAAAGAAGTCATGATTAAACCAGCATGCTCTACTTTTCATTTTCAAGAAAGGCACCCCAGTGTTGTTTCAAAAACTGACTAATCATAAGAGTCAAAAGATCGATGTGTGATATGTATCTCTGTATGATGGCCGTTCGAATGCCAGTACTCAAAACTGATTGTGTAACTCTGAAATTTGCTGTTCTAGAATCTGACAACTTTCCATATCATGATTGGCCCTGTTCTTCAATGCTATCCAGAAATTTACAAGATGTCTTTTGGGAATTCCTTAAAATACTGAAGTACACCCCGAGCAAAACAATTTGCAACGTTATTGGATTCACACAGATGGAGCAAACACTCTGGATAAAGGTGATTAAAAGAAAGAAAACAAAAGATGGGCCAGAAAGAAAAACAATCATGTTAAGATGAGTGATGTGGGCAAAGCATGCTTTTAAAACTCTTGAATACTGCTCACAGATTCCTTAGCACTTGGCCAGTATCTCACAACCAGGTTAAGTGAAATAATATTAAGTAATTTATTCTTCAATAATTTAAATGCTTTACTAAAGTTTCAACAGTAAAAACAAGAGTGCATTCGTAGCCTCGTAATTCATTGAAGATAAACCAAAAGCCGCAATACGGACGATGAGAAGTGAGTTGATAATGCAGGAAGTGTTGACTGCAGTTTCTCACTTCCACTCCAAGGGTGAAGGACAAGGCTTGGCAATATTTTCACCAGTACACAGAGAAAATGTCAGTGCAACATCACCAAGGACGCTGTCTTGGGAAGAACTTGATTTATTCTGAGATTTTATGTTTGTTATATCTTAATATTAAAAGTTACACCTTCTTTTGAAAAATGGTGATGATATATACATAAAGCATTTTGTCTTATTGAAATTTTATTGTTTAAATTATTTATGTATAATTTTATTTATTCATTCATTCATTTTAATTTGACCAGAGAGAGACAGAGAAAGAGAGAGAGAAGAAAGTGAGAAAACAAGCCACCAGGTCCAGGACTTAAACTGTGGTCAGCCATGTCTGGAGTTGAATATTATATCCTAGAATTTAATCAGGAAAATTGAACCAGAAAGTACATGAGACTGATAGGTTCATGCACCTACCATTTGAACAGAATCCTAACCTGTTTCCTGGCTTTAAGCAAAGTTCCTTGGCGTTTCTTTGATTTAAGTTAAAACTGGTTTTCTTAGTAGTAATGAGTGAACTCACCATTGAAAGTAGTTAGATTATGTAGGAAATTGTGTGATCAATGCATTGTGGGTGGGAAGGGAATGGTGGACAATTGTGGACACCGGAGGTGGTGTGAGAGGAGGGTGGGAAGGGACATAGGGTCAGAAAGAGGGGTGGAAATAATTCTAGGAACTAGAAATGGAAAATTTTTTATAATGTGCATGATTGAGTCACTATGCAGTGTGTACTGGATGGGAGATCGCATTTTGTGTGCTGTGATGATGCTTAGGGAAGGAATGTAAATTGAGTTACAAAAAAAAAAAAGTTTCAGGAAAAAAAAATATATCTATTCAATAACTGCAGTAGGATATGTACCCCAGCTAGGTGCTACTTTATAGGATGCGTAAAGTCAGACTTGTGTTCATGGAAATGTGTCACCTGTGTTTGCTATGAGGGTATTTGGATTGATTAGGGTCTTTGGTGATTCAATAAAATGTGGGAAGATCATTTGCTGACAATAATATGTTCGTTGATGTGCTTGATTGAGACAATATACAGTGTACTTTGGATGGAAAATCTCATTTTTTATGCTGTAATGATGTACAGTGAATGAATGCAAATAAAGAAATTGAAATAAATAAATAAATAAATAAATAAATAAATAAATAAAATCATTACTGTGAACTTACACCTATATATATATTTTTTTTAAAAAAAGAGTGTCCAGTGCCTTAACAGCCATGCCACCTGCTGGTCCCCAAAGTTTTCTTTTTTCTTATGTTCTATGTAACAAAATTGGGATTTGGCAACTCTATGTTCTTCCTCCATTTTTTTATTTTATTGATCATTAAAATCCAAAAATCTAGTCTGCACTGCTCTCTGGATCTCCTTGTATCTCCAATGGCAGATTAGACAGGGAAGGTGTTTGAAGGCTCAGTTTCAATACTTCACCCTATCAGATGCTGCTATCAATTTCAAACATTCAAAACTTCAAGGAAGCAGCAGGAAGGAGATTGTTGGAAAAAAGCTAAAGGTGATTAAAAGAAAGAAAACAACAATGGACCAGAAAGAAAAACAACTATGGTAAGATGAGTGATGTGGGCAAAACATCACTCAGGGGTCCTCTCCAAAAACCTGAAGACCATTGCAACCAACTAGAAATTGTTGACTTTGTTCTAAATCAATACAGTCCCCAAAATTTTGCAGGTACCAGGATGAGGGGTTTGATGGAAGAGTCAATATTTACTGAATATGTGCCCAATCAGCTACATACTAGACATGAATTGCAAATAATAAATTCCCTTTTCAGTAGCATGACATTAAAACATTTAGTTAAGATAATAACTGATCATGCATATCTCCTCAATAATAAGTTGGCACAGACACGAAAAGTTTCGATTCAGAAATGTATCAAGTAGTTTAGGAGCTGGTTACCTTAAATCATTCAGATCATTTAACAACTAAATGACTAAAAAAATATATAGTTGACTAAATAAAACCTTAGTTACCTTAAGGAGAGAATGCCCCACACCCACACTGTCCAAATAAATTCCAGGAATAGTTTCCTCATTAGCAGGATCTACAAAATAAATATTAACAAAAATACTCTGGCCTGACACGTTCCCCATTGTGAGCTATTTTAGTAAAACTTAGCCTCCATGTGATCAGCTTCCTTTTTTGAAAAGACACCAAGCATGAGCTGTTCCTGTCACTCCTGCTGATCCTACCTTAATTTAATGATAATAAAATGGGCTATTTGAGCAAATGACTGTAAACGAAGTCGCTGCAGCACCTCTATAAAGTCTGTATGTATGTGTGTGTGCCTCAAAGCATTGCTTAAGGGACTAAAAAAAGGCTCGTTCAATTATTTCAGAAATGCCTGTGCAGTGTGTTCTTATTTGTGGTGCTACTCAAATGCAAAGCAAATGCTCTTAATCTAGTCTCTCTAGGTACCATACAACATCTCTAAATGGAGGGGGAAAAAAAACTGAATAAAAATATAAAAAGAAAGGAAAAGATGAAATGAAAAGAACTTGAGAGGAGAGGGGAAAATGAGAAAAAGACTATGTGTATTAGATTAGTGAGCACTTCCATTAGAAGAGAGACTGACAAAATACAAGTCAAAGTGAGGGTGGCCTTCCATTTCAGAGGATTCAATATGGGAATATGCTTTTGATAGTGCAGTGTTAAAGCATGGCTCATTATTTCTAGTTTTATAGCTACCAATCGCCTGTATCAAGGATGGAACTCTCAACCCAGTGCCTTCTGCAAATCATTTGCGTAAATCATTCATGTGATACGCTCATAAATATCCCCAATGCAACTCAAACAAAGGTACAAAGAACTGACATTCTCTCCTCTCTACTCCACCTCTGCTTGGCTAATACCAGTCCACCTTCACTTGTCAATTCAAGTGCCATCTTTTCCAGGAAGCCTTCTCTGATAGCCTTGTAGCCACGTGGCTACCTAAGTGTTATGCTTCTGGACCTACTTCTGTTATACCAGATGGAAGATCATCTTGTCAAGTTATATTTTAATTACTGGTTGATGGCTTTTTTTTCTTGATGAGCTACTTGAGAACAGGTTCTTTGTCACAGTTTTTACACCTCTTTTTTTCACCTGTGCCTAACACATAGTTGGCAAATTAATACCAACAAAGAACAGACTGAGAGATGGCCTATGTGAGGGAAAAGTAGCCCAGAGCAGTTCAGCCTCTTATTGAGGGACACTCTGAAATTCTCCAATGTTGCTATTGGTGATTTATCCTAATCTCAGAACTTAGAGGTTGCTGGTACCAATTACAAGGCAAATAGTCCCCCAAAATATTCTCATATTCTCAAACGAAAGTATTGGGTTATCAGAAAAGTCATGATGTATTTTTCTGTTTTTCTATGCAAAAATGCATGATGACTTTTCTAGCAACCCAATAATAAAGAGACTATGACATGATTAAATTAAAAATAAGACTTTCAATTAAAGAATTTTAAAATAAGAATTTTCCCAGTTTCTAAAGAGGATATTTTTATTTACTAAAGAAGTTTAACTCCAATGTTAGCTTTAAATTATTTTTCTGTGAATTATTTTTAAAACAATTCACAGAAATTTGACATTGTTAAAAAAAAAAAAAAGTTTGGGACCAGCAGTTAGCGTAATGGCTATGTCGCTGGACTCCCACGTGGTTGACTGTGGTTCAAGTCCCAGACCTGGTGGCTTAAACTCACATGGGGCGCGTGTGCGTGCGTGCCCAAGATCCCAACAGGAGAATGGAGGAGAAGGGATTGCGGCATGGCCATCCCACCAGGAGGTGATTTCTCGCTTTCTGTCTCTCTGTCTCTCTCTGTCTGTCTGGCAAGCACATGTGCCCTATTGCAAAAACCTCTCAAAAAAATAAAAAGTTTAAAATGTCTACCAAAAGCCTATAATTAGGAAGAACTGGGTCAGTACATAAATCTTTAAAGTTAAAGTATATGGAAAAAAATATAAGAAAAACTTAAGGCTAAACATAATAAAAATAAATGAGAAAAAAAAGGAAAATACACATCATTCTTTCCTTTTATTGGCCATATAAATAAAAAACAAACCAATAATTGCTAAGTCAAGCAAGTATATTATCATATGTATCCTTTGTATTTTTGTCTTATGCTAGCAGAGCCATTACTTGAAAATTCGGAAGACCTTGTATAGTACAATCCCTCCACTGGCCTTCTGCATGACCTTGTGCAATGACCTGGTCGAAGACCCACTCATCCCTCCAATCCTTAGTATCCGAGTGACTTACAGAAGTCATTGTAC